CATGGCCGACGAGCTCGATGAGATGGAGATTGAGGAAGAGCAGAAGAAAGAAAGAAAAGGAAATGATGAAGACAAGGAGATGATGAAAACGCATGGGAAAAAGGCACTACAGATCGTGAACAAATTGCACAAGCAGTTGGGACACCCCGGAAATGACAAATTGGTGAAAGCATTGCAGGATGCCAAGTTCCCAGAAGAAGTTGTGGGATGTGCCAGAAAGTACAAGTGTGACATCTGTCAGGGAGAAGCATTGAAGAAAAGCGCAAATCCAGGTACTTTGACAGAAGCCACCTACTTCAATGAGATCATCGAGATGGACACTTTCCATATGAAGTGGAATGATGAAAAAGTTCGCATCCTGGCAGTCATTGATTTGTTCACGAAGTATGAGGTGAACGCGTTGCTGCCAAGAGAAACAGAAGAAGCAGAACTGCAAGTGCTGGAGGAGTTATGGTTCCATCCTTTCGGCTTTCCAAGTCGATTGAAGACAGATGCTTCGGGAGCACACATGAGCCAGAAGTTCCTGGACGTCATGGACCAATACAAGATCAAGCTGGTATTGATTCCAAAGGAGGCTCATTTCAAAATTGGTACCGTTGAAAGATTGCATGCAGTGAGGCGTCTACAGTTGCTGAAGATGAAGAAAGAGATGCCCAATGTCGATCTCCAGCAAGCAATTCGCACAGCATGCACACAGCGCAATCGGCTACGCAACATTCATGGATCATCACCAGCTGAATTGGTTTTTGGCAGAGCTCCCAATGCATTGGCAGGTCTCATTGATGAACCTCAAGATCTACGACCAGACTTGCCGGCCGCAGCTCAAGATTTAGTGGTTCTCCGGACTCTTGCAGCCAAGACATTTCATGAAGCCAACAATGATGCCCTTCTGAGACGTTCTCTTTTGGCAAGACCAAGGTCCGAACATGAACCCTTGCCACTTGGTTCTTGGGCATATTACTGGCGGCAAGGAGATTCCAAGCTCGAAAGCTCTCGATGGCGGGGACCTTCTTTGGTTTGCATGGTTGAGCCAAAACCCATGAGCGATTCCGAGAAGTTTCGACCTCATGTTTACTGGTTAGCTCATGGTGCCTCTCTCGTTCGTGTCGCTCCCGAGCACATTCGTCCGGAGTTGCCTCGAGAAAGGTTGGCACGATTAGAGAACATGCCAGACACAGCTCAATCCAAACCGGTTCACACCCAAATCCTTGACACCTTACGTCCTGTTCGCGGTCCCGTTCGGTTTTTGGATTTGTCTTCTCAGCAATCTCCTTCCCTTGGGGGGACCTCTTTTGCGAATGCAGCGAGTCAGGGTGCATCCGTCGTTTTGGCCTCGGATAACACTGCAACCGATGCCCCGGCATCGGAGAACACTGCAACCGATGCCGGACAAGATGCACCAGCTACATTGGCAAGGGTTGCTGAGAAGAGTACAGGAGAAACCGGAGTTGATGAAGAGATGCAAGAGCCAGAGATCCCGAAGGAAGAAGATGCAAGACCACAGAGAGAAAGGTCGAGAAGTCCACCCGCCAGAGATGAGAAAGCCAGAGCCTTTCAGTCGTACAATTTGTCCCGACAGTTGGATGGAATGCCTCATGTTGAACCCGGTGATGCAGCCTTTGAGAAACACTGGGAGCAGATGGTTCAGCCCATGGAGGAAGACGAAGATTTGATGGCTGAGTCATTTCATGAATCCAAGCTCACGGACAAAGAGAGACAAGAATTCAGTGAGGCGAAGGACAAGGCGCTACGTGTTTGGCTGGAGAACAAGGCTTGGAAGGCTGTTCCGGAGACGGAGGCCAAGGACGGCGAGGTCATTCCAGCAAGATTTCTGCAGAGATGGAAACCTACGAAAGAAGGAAAAGTGGCGAATGCCAGAGTTTCGCCACAAAGATGTTCTCAATGAAGAGCTGGATCGTGAGTCGCCGACTTTGAGCAGAACAGGTCGCATGTTGATCCTGCAGTGGGCTTGTCAGTTGGGGTGGAAAGTCTTTGCAGCCGATGTGAAAAGTGCTTTCATGCAGTCCAAGTCCATCGACGAGGAGACACGCATCTATATCAGACCCACTGCTGAGATGAGGAGACGATTGGAAAGACTCATGGATCTCAAACCATGGGAGCTTCTTAAGGCAACCAAACCGGCCTTCGGAGACGTGAGAGCACCCAGACAGTGGTATGAGTCCGCAAAGGATTTCCTGATCAATGAGGCCCAGTTCCTTCAGCATCCTTTGGACAACTGTGTTTTCCTGAGCGTGAGGCTTGCATGCAGAGGAGATCCTGATTTCCAAGTGTTTGAACACCAAGGCAAGCAATACATTGTCGATGGGATTCTTGGTTTGCATGTTGATGATTTCCTTAGTTGTAGTAAAAGAGTGCATACAGTAGAAGATATAACCGGAATCCGTGAGGAGACAGAAGCGCAGAGGACAACACATTGTTTCAAGAGCAGGTTGCAGAGTTTGGCACAAAAGTTCAGGTTCGGCAGTTGGGACTTTGGTCGCAATTCCAAGATCTTGTTCTGTGGAACATCATTGGAACAAAGCATTGGGTATGACAGCTTGACATTGAGCCTGAAACAATATGTGCAGAAGATCAAGCCGATTACATTGGACAAGCAGAGGAAGACCATGAGCGACGCACCATTGGAACCCAAAGAAACGAAGATGCTGAGAGCACTCATTGGCGCGTTGGCTTGGCCGGCAGGACAATGCCTACCTCAGTTGTCCGCCTCGATTTCATTGTTGCAAGCATCGTCAAGCAATCCAACAGTTGGTGACATTGTTCAAGCAAACAAGTTGTTGAGATTTGCAAAAGACATTGTGCAAGGCTACAACATGACGTTGAGAAGACATGGACAAAGCTTGATGCATCATGGGGAATCAGGCCGGACGGCTCTTCCCAAGGAGGACACACCATCTTCATCGGCACAGAGGATGAGATGAATGCAGGGAAGCCTTTTCCTTTGACCATCATCAGCTGGCATTCTCGCAAGTTGAACCGCATGTGCAGGTCTTCATTGTCGGCGGAAGCACAGTCAGCAGCGAGTGCAATTGATGAAGTTGAGTGGACCAAGATTTTCGCTGCTGGGATGGTCTGTCCATACATCTCCATTGCCGATGAGGGCGTGCTCCAGATGTTCGGCCCAACTCCTGCTTTGACAGATGCAAAGTCTCTTTTCGATTCTGCAAGGTCAGTGTCTGCAGGTCTGAGGCTTACAGAGAAGAGAACAGCAATAGAAGTCGCAATCGTGAAGGAAAGGTTGGCTGCGATGCTTGGAGAAATGAAGTGGGTGAACTCGGCACAACAAGTTGCAGATGGGCTCACGAAACCAGGAGCCAAAGACAGTTTCTCGCACGTTCTCAGGCGAGGAGTTCACTCGTTGAGGTTTGATCCAAACGTCACGGCAGCCAAGAAGGTCACAAAAGAAGAGAAAGAAGGAGAGGAGAAAGAACACGATGAAGCCGCCAAGATGCTTTTCCATGGTGAACTGTTGATGACCGATGAGATTGCAGCAGGAGTATGCCAGAAACCAGGTTGTGGGAAGTTGCTTGATGCTTCACAACAGCACCACCGGTATTGCAGTCGAAGGCATTTTTACAAGCACTTCAACCAGCGCAAACTTGGTGAAGACATGTGGAAGAAAGCAGCACAGATGGCGATCTTTACATTGGCAACACAAGGTGCAGAGGAAGCAGGTGTTGAAGCAGCTGACACGAATCAGACAGCATCGGGAAACACTGCAACCGATGACTTCAAAGTTGTGTTGACATTGTTGGTGATTTTCCTGTTTTCATTCATTGGCATGCAGAACGTTGCCTACAAAGCATACAGGTGGTTTTTGAACATTGTGCAAGTTCTTTTCCCACAGCAAGTGATGGAGAATGAGAGCACGATTGAAGAAAATGAGGTGAATGAAAACGATGAGGTTCCAGAGAATGACTCGGATCCTAGCTATGGCGCAATTGTGGAGATGGAAGCTGCACAGAACAACCAGGTGAATGATGATGATGCCGGAAGCTCTTCTGTGAACGATGACCCAGAAGTGTCACCAGAAGAATGGGATCGATGGTACCAGATCAAAGAAAGTGTGGAAAATGAAAGAGGACAAAGGAAGTGGAAGAAAATTCTACATGAAGTGGTCCTCAACCATCAGCACCCCATGATTGACAGCGCTATGAGAGGAACAATGATTGAGGAGAACTGGACAGATACGCGCTGCAAGTCTTACAAGAAATTGTTGGACATTGAGGACACCGCAGGTTGCACTTCGGACCAGATTCGCATCTGGAATCGGCATTGCAATGAAAGGATGCTCTTCATGATTGAGGTGAGCGCAAAGGTGAAGAAACAGAAAGAACAGATTGAGTTGTTGGAACGCACCCTGGCCAGAAAAGAAAGGCTTGAGCAGTTGGAAGGCATGGAGCGCTTTCGACAAAGAGTGAGTGATTGGGAAGTCAAAGACAAGGTGTGCCAAACACCGTTCACTTTCAGTTCGGCGCGCAATAGGTTGGTTGCTCTACCTGACCATGCTCACGGCATCTCACGGCTCATACGAGTTTCAGAGCGATTTTTACAACAGGTGAAAAGAGCAATGGCGTCAAGGCCAAATTTTGTATTTTCTCCAAAAGGAATTTTACATGGTCGAGATGGGCTCGAACGAAAGAGCTTTCCTCCTGTGTCAATTCCTGCCTATCGCATACATGTGTTTGATCGATTTTCGTCCGACCGACATATCTCGGTTCAATACAGGGCCCTTGACGCCACCCCGTGCTACGACATATGGAAAACAGGTGATTCGATTTCGTGTGAACTTGGACGAGACTTCGTGGGCTTGTGGACAACCAAGTTGATAGTTCCAATATGTCTTGGGAAACTTGACTTGATGTGTTTTGTGGTTCACATGGCATGCATGTACAGGATACCTCAGCGTGCCAGTCGTTGGGTACCTGATCACTCGTCCAGGGCTCTTGGGCAAGCCCTGCAAGTTTTCAGGCCCTGGCGGTGCAGCACGCTTTTCCTTCTCACGTTCCATCTGTCCAAATGGCATAGGGCGCAACTCCTACAAGCCCATGCTTCAGTCCAGATCAAGTGTGAGGAAACCATTTGCAACGATAAATGGACCAAACGCCAACTGACATGTTAGCCGATCTTAGCTGTCCTCGTGACTGTGTGCATAGCGACAATCAGGATTGTCGCAAAGACCAGTCGCAATGAGAGCTTTGCACAACTTGGTGCAGGCCTCGCGCCGATTCAAATGTGTCCAGAACAAACGATGTATCCCCAAAAGGATCCAAAAGGGTAAACGCAGCAGCTGAATTCAGGCACAAAGAAGGCATAAAAGAGATTGCCTCGATAAAACTGCTGACTAGTGCATGCGCTTGCAAGCTTCCATCTGAGTTCGTGGCAAGGTCCGGCAAATTGTTCAACTCGGACCTGGGATTGGTGGTTAGCTGATTGCCGTGCTCTGTGGAGCCCTAAGCAAGAACGCCTTGACACTGGATCATTAGGGGGATGCATTTCTGCTTCCACTCTGAGCATTCCAACGGAAAGTGCGCAAATCGGCAGCTTGAGCCTTTGGCGCAAGCACCCAAGATGTGGAACTTGCCTCAGCCAAGCATCGCTGCGGCTTTGCCGCTCTACGTGGATATCGAGGCCCTGACACATTTTGGTCTTCTCAAACACTTGAGTGCGCATGTTTCGCTCCTGATCCAACACAGGGAGCACATTGTTGTCGGCCATCAGCTCGGTACAACATCACCGCACTCAATGATAGTAGCGTCCTTGCTCCTAGTAGTAAGGCCAGGAGCCCCTAGTAGCGTTCTTGCTCCTATGAAAGAAAACTTATTCTAAAATTCCCAGACTGCACCTGATGAAGCAAGGAAAGCTACAACATCCGACAGCATCGCTGGAATCCTCGTCGTCGCTCCCGGCTGAAAGATTCACCTCGCAGGGGTCACCGGAGCAACACAAGAGCCACACCTTTGCACCTTGGTCCCTACAGTACCCGGAACAGCTTTCTAGACCTCGAACATCATCGAAGTGTAATCCTAAGTCTTTAGAGCCTTTAAAGGCTGTGGTCTTCGGTGGTCTTCCTCCTGAACTGCTTGCGGTTGGCGGCCTGCGGTGCGATTGGAGCGACTGCAAGACGAGTCCTTAATGCAGTGGCAGCGCGAATTGGACGAGTAGTGTTATAACAGAACTTTAAAGAAACAGAAAACAATTCCTCTGAAACAGCACATTTTCAAACCTTTTACGGCACTTTCAACCGACTACTACTTATCGTGCTATCGCGCAGTCCTGCGCTTGCGAGGCATCGGCCAAGCCTTGGCTCCCACGCATCGCCCAAGCACGTCGATGACTCGAACTAGAACTCCAAATGCATGGTCTTTTGCATGCCTCTTAAATGTACTTCCTGTTTGAGCGTGGGCACTCATGCAAATGTCATGTATGTGATTGGCGGTTTTTGTGTTGGCCTGGAAGCTGAGGACACCACACCCCGGCAAGACCAATGGAAAGAATGAGCCAAAGACAAAGCTGCGGACCGGCCAGATCTGGGCTTATCTACTACAGTATCTTTCGGCCTCTTGTAGTTTACTGCTACTTTACTCTCGGAGGAGCTCCGACCAGGACCTCAAACGTTTTTTGTTGGACATGTTGGGTCCTTGCTTTAGGGGAAGCGAACACTGATGTTGACGGCTCACGAGGCTTCACCAGTACCAAGGCGTCGTTCCATTCAGACTTAAGGGTACTGAAGTATGTCCTATCCGTCAGCTGGCCAATATTATGATCGCAGGAAGCCCTGCTTTATCAATACAGTTCGGATCCTGGCACGGGCACAGGTCTAAAAGCACCGAGTTTCCTGGCAGATGAAGAAGTACATGGCACCGTGTGCAAATGCGTTTTGCTTGGTGTAGAAACACTTCAAGAAATAGTTCAAACGCCAAACTCCCGTTGTGGAATAGACTGAAGACGAACCAGTCATCTAGAACTTGCTACTCCTGGTTCCTGGGCAAGACCCTGTCAGGCAAAGGAGGTGACCTCTCTCAAGCACAACTCTTCGATGTCAGCCTTGGAATTTGCAGACACTCAATGTCCAATGGTCCAATGACCATTCAACTGATGCACCTGGTGCTGGTGAAGAATTTCTAGCTCGGAAGATCGTGGTGCATCTAGGAACAATTTGGCCGATCGAATGGCCTGTTCGTCAACATACTATATAAACACTGTGAACTGAAGTGCTGGGCTTGAGAACCACTCAGCCGCAGACCGGTGTAAATCTGTGAGTCTGGGAGTCCCAACCATCTTTTCAGCATACTTCTTCGCCGAGTCACGCCATCGCCCATTCAGGCCGCTCGCCGACCTTCAACAGAGATGCCATCAAAAATCATGTGCCACTGACCGCAGTTCAGCTGCTGCTTCTTCTCCTTCTACAGTATCTCTTTTTTAAATATCCATGTTTCTTGTTTTTCCATCTAAGTGCTTGCAGGCAGATTCAT